TTTCTTTCCTCCCCGCTTGGCGCTGCTCTGTGTCCCAGCGGGGAGGAGAGAAGCTGACATCCGGCCGAACGCTGCGGGAGCTGACATCCGGCCGATCAGCCTCCTGTCACAGTCCGGCAGAGCGGTGTGTGGTCGGAGACAGCACGCATTGTCACAGGAGGCTGAGCTCTGCTTGCTGCACCACTCACTCAGCCTCCTGTGACAGCTGTCAGAAGAAGGAGAGCCAATGCAAACGCTCAGCGATCATTGATCACTGAGTGTTTGTACATAATTGAGGATATCACCTCCTTTTCATTCATGATTGTGGGTATAGTAAACATACTCTGTCCTCAAGTTATGAATGAACAGGAACACTCAGTACAGATGCTTCCTGTTCATTGATAACAGGGGCTGCAGAAAAAGAGATTGAGGACTCTGTGTCCTCAATCTCTTTTTCTATTTTAAAAAGGGAAAGATCAGGGGTCTGTTTAGACCCCTAATATTTCCCCAAAGCCCCTAAAAGTAAAGTAAAAAAAAAATATTTAATAAAAAATGAAATAAATATATAAAAATTAAAAACAGTTTATAATTTTTTTTTTTTTAAATTAGAAAAAAATGTAAAAATACATTTATTTTGTTTTCGGCCTGACATTTTTTTTCATTTCGGTTTTGAAATTTCCATTTTGGTGGACCTCTAGTTTAAATATTGCAGAGAAGCGTTCCAGGTTACTAGGTGACCTGTGGAGACATAGAACACAAGTTGCATTCCTCCAAAAAACGCACTTTCGTGCAGATAAAATTCTCCAACTTCAGATTTCCTTTTTCCTATAATAGCCCCAGACTCCAGGTCTAGAGGGGTGAGCATCGTCATCAACCGAAATGCTGGGTGACAATTCTCTCCAAACAGGCTGCTATCTGTTCATCAAGGATAGGGTGAGGGGAACTCTGGACCTACATTATGTACAGGCATCTTCCATTTATGCCATCTCTATTTCTGACCATGCCCCAGTCCTCCTGGATCCGTTCCTTCCCACTAGTGAGCCTACTTCCTCCCAATGGATACTAAACGATGGATGATCTTAGGAAACAGAGGCTAGAATCGAAAATTACATGTTTTTTAATCAGCCAACCAAACTCCAGTTTCCTCCCTAATGGTGATGTGGGAAGCCCTTAAAAAGGTATATGCGTGGCATCCTTATTTCCCAAGCCTTGAAGCCGAAAAAAAATCCCATATGGAGGCCCTTTTACGGCTTCTTGAACACATCCGTCGCCTGGAATCTCAGCATAGGCAAACGCTAGCACAGGCAACAGTGGATGAACTGTCCGCTTTACGCGGTCGCCTTAATGATCTTCTCCTGCAGAAAATCAAAGCTAGACAAACCATACTCAAGCGCTCTTTTTATGAATTTGCTAATAAGTCGAGTAGGTCCCTAGACCGCAAAGGTCATCTTCAGACCAGTTCAAAAGGACATAGCCAACCATTTTAGAGATATCTTCCGTTCACTTTACAACCTTACTCCTCCCTAATCTCCAGAGAAAAAGGGGAAAACCCTAATATCCACCCAATATCTTACCCAAACTGGCCTTCCTAACCTGACACCCGATGAAGCTGCTGCAATGGAGTCTCCCATCCCCTCAGCAGAATGGTTTGTGTTTTGGTTTTAAAACAAACAAAACCCCACAAAGCGCCTGGCCCGGATGGATATTCCCTTCAATATCACTAAAAACCTTTTGTGACGTTTTACAATCCCCTTCCTGGCGGCTAACAACTCGCTTTTGTCTGGCCAGAATTCCCTCGTTAATTCCCTTTGGGCCTCCATCACTGTAATCCTTTTTTTTTCCTTCTTTCCCTCTCCTTTTTCTCTTCTCGACCTCCTTTCTTTTCCAGCTCTCTTTACGCGCGTTCTACTCTTTAGTTGTTTTCTCTTTCCTTCTGTTCTACCTCTCTTCTTCCTGTTCCTCACAACAGTTCTTATGGTATTATAATGTGTTAGTATATGGGTTGCACTCTGTTTTTGCATCAACAGTTGGATTCCAGGGCTCTAAGTTTAGATGTGACATGATGGTTCACATCCACCCACGTGGACTGTCGCCTGATCTTATTTCTGTGCATCCATTGTATTTTGATGCTGTTATTTTTATTTGCCACTTTTACAATCTGTCGTTTATGTAAATAGTATGTTCTTAAAATCTTTAAATTAAGATTTTAAGAAAAAGTAGCTCTGATGGTTACACAATAAGGTTTTCTAACTAGGTGGTTTTTCAAGCCAATCTTGTCCAGTTTACCAACTGAATAAAATGTAACCAAGTGGTGCTGCATGATCAGGCTCACTGTTGGCAGATACAATTTTATAATGATAAACATTATTTAGGAATCAAATCTGCAAACTTACTGGATATTCGGTCTACTTTTTAATGGGCATGGTCCATCAGTAACATTTATTGTATGAACTGATTACTGACATTTCTAGACAGTAAAATGATTCAGTAATTTTTATTCATATGGTAAACCTGTACAGTAAAAGTTAGAGAAAAATATCAACACTAAGAACAATTAAACACATTTTGATAATTAGTAATAAATATCACAAACTTTAAACCATGGTTTCAAGAAGATGTAAAAACTCTAATTAAACGATAGTTTGCCCCCATGCACTGTGTATCATAAGCAATTGCCATTTTTTTAATTAAATATCGGTTTTCACTTTTGTCAACATTTGTTACAGCTTAGTGCTGCTGATCTCCTGCAGTCTCCTTACATCCACTTCCGGTCTAAATGTACCCGAGAAATGGCTGCATGTCACTTGTAAGGCTGGGTATCTTGATAGTGACAACAGTGGACCTTGCCTGAACGTGTGTTAAAACGTTCATTTGAAGTCACCATCTGAAGCCCTTGTGACAGGGTGACAAAGCAGAAGCACAACTGGTAGACAGAGACAGAGCATTGTCGCCCTACAAAAGGAAGTGTCTAAACAACAACCTTCATGGCAAGATCACCATGAAATTATTTTATTGAATTCATTTACAAATAATGTAATTTCAAAAAATAATTATCATTATCAAGTTAAAGTTCATATGAGATTTTAATGACTGGGTTTACATATACTTTAACAAAGTAAAAGGTTTCTCCACCTAACTGCAAACTTCTTGTTTTATGAAGCAATTGACAAAAAATTCCTCCTGCACCAGTTTGGAAGTTTCAGTCACAAGAAACAGCTATAGACAAGACAGCCTGCAGCACTATCACAATGCAGTGGTAAAAAAAAAGTCAACAGAGCTGACAGCTAAGGAATACATCAGTTGAGTGGAGAAACATGTAAAAAATACTTTGCCAGTCAACTGAAGCGTGAACATGTAACAGTAAGTTACATGTTGAGTCATTCGCTTCTGATTTTTTCCACCTTTGCTCTGTACACAGACACCAAGTACTTCTTGGTAAAGCACACATTTGACTATGAAGATTCTGGTAAAAGTATGCAGTAATACCTCCTGGATAGAAAAATGGCACTATTAAAGCAGCAAATAATTTAAAGTGGAAGTAAACCTTCTTGTCTTTTTGCAGCTAAACATGAAGCCATTAGCCTCTATTTAGATCTGCAGTTTCATGAAAAGATTGGTTGAGAGCCAGCATAAGCACACTGGCAACTGTGACAGGTATCAGCATATTTTCTGCAATAAAGATCTTTTACCTGCGTATTTCTTCTGGACAATGTACACGGAGCTGCACATGAGTACTATTGTGGCATACTCCAGAATAAATCAACTCTCATCCGTGTGCAGGAGTTGATTCATTCTGGCATTGCCAATCAGGATGGCTGAAGATACGCAACCCAGAAGATGACGGGGCAAAGATGTTGTCATTCGTGAACACACACGCATATGTGACATCACTGGAGGGGAGGGGAGTATAGTTCCACTTTAACAGAATAAAAAAAAAAATACAAGTAAGACATATGGAGTGAAAGTCAAGAGGTAGATAACTGCAAAAAAAACACTTACAGAAAAACATATTTACTAATGCTTCTTCAATATTGCTTATAACTTCACAGCATATGTCAGCATGTGATTTAAATAGTGATAAAGAAATTTCAAATAACAAGGATGCATGTAGAGTGCTTGAAGAAAGATAGTCGATGCACAGTGAGCTTGTCTGCTTTTCCCTGTGCAATACATAATGAGAGAATAAGTGGTGGTTTATGGAGTGGTTGATTCCTAATGCACCAATGCTTTTATCTGTATTATTGTTACAGAGTTGTACTTTTCAGTAAAACAGCAGAACTCAGTCCCCACTTAGACAAAGTGTAACCTAGCAAGAAAGGAGGTTATTTTCCAATTACTTTCTATAAAATGTGTATTTGTCGAGAAACTGAAATTTAAGCAGGCAAATTATGCAGGAAAGAAACAGCATATCACTGCTACATGCTATGCTAATACTGCAGTCAACATTGATTTTAACTAAAATTCCTAGTCAGGATATCACTGGAATATCAGGTATAAGGGAAGTCCAGGCCACACCTGAAAATTAGCACCTCATATAGGAACACATGGAGTTTGCTGTAGTGATTTTCCAATACTTGATCAATAGGAGGACAAAGGTTTTCAGGGAAATAAAATCTGCTGAAGGGAGCCTTGGGCTAGTATTGTTTGGATCTGCTGAAGGCAGGAAACAAGGTGCAAAAAAGAAGGCAAGATAAGAAAGTGGCTTTGGCTATATGTGCGTCTTGCAGGACCCAATATTGTTATATTTGTAGGGGATGCAGAATATCAACTGATTCTACTCGGAACAGTGGTATCACTTAAGCTTTTTAGGCTGGGGAATGTGTACAACATATGCAGAAATTGGTAGCAGGTAACATGTTTAACTAAAAAATAAGCGGTAAGCTGAATAAAACATTTTGGGTCATGTATGTAAATGTGGCACTGAAGGGGGCATGGTTTGAATAAAATATGTTGATGACTGGGTAGGAGGTTGTAAAACATTTGCAAACTTATAAACAAAATCCTCGAAATACATTAAAAAAAAATTACGTTTTTTGCGATTTTGTCCAGGCTTGCGGTAATATAACCGATGCACATGCTATACCAGCAAAAGACTCTGGGAAGTGCATGTCTCTTTCCCATTTATTAGTTTCTATATTGTACACCTGTACAATACTAGTTACATTGTTCAAATGCCAGTTGTAGCCCCCTAAAATATAAATCTTCTGATCCATCACACAGCAACCAGCTTCAGACTGTCCTGTTCTCATTGGAGTCACAGTTGTCCATGTGTCATTCTCTTGAGCATAGTACTCAACACCTAAAATGTCAAAACATCGGTCAACATGATCTAATCTTCCACCAAATACATACATTCTGTGATTTGTCCCAACCATTGCATGAAGAACTCTTGGTTCATTCATTGGCGTCTTAAATTCCCATTGGTCTAAAGAAGGATCATAGCAATGTAAGGCTTTTTTGTCTTCCACAGATACTCCATAGCCTCCTGAAATATACAGCCTTCCCCCAAGTGTAGCACCAGCATGACCCCATGCTCTTCTTTTTAGGGAACACACGTAGGTCCATTCATTCTTCTTTGGACAATATCTTTCAACGGAGGACAAACTGCCTGATCTATTTCTTCCTCCAACTGCATACAACATGCCATACAAGACATTCAGTTGAAACTGGATTCTGCTCTCCTGCATGGATTGTATTCTTAGCCATTGATTCAAATGGGGATCATAGCGGGAGCAGACATCTACAGCTCCTTCACCACTGCGGTACTGCAAATGCTGCCCACCTACTACATATACAAAGTTATCCAGGACTGCAACACAAGCATGACTGCAACCAATCTCCATTTCATGAAGTTCCTTAAATTGGCGGGCACTTACATCTGGCAGATGATACACTTTGCTGCTCACTGTTCGGTCATTATCTGTATAAGGAGTTCCACCAAATGTTATGAGTGAGAACACATCTGATCTAATGACCGTCCTACAAGACTGCATCTCATGCTGTCGGAATGGAAGGATTTGGTAGTTGAAAGCCTCGAGAAGATACTGGCGGCACAAGACATCCTCTACCATGATATCCACAATCTGGACACTATCCACCAACTCCGAAGACTGCATGAGTGGAAATCTAATATGACAAAGAACTTGACTAGCAAGAGCCCGACGTGAATAATCAAACTGCAGCCAACGGATAGCAGCATTAAATAAATCTATTTCCCTGCAGTTTTTCAGCTTATTACTTTGAAGGAAGAAAATAAGTCTTTCTAAAGACAAATGGAGAAAATCTTCTTCCTCAGAAATTTTAAGGAAATTATTAAATGTGAAAGAATCCACTGACTCTTTTAGAGATGCCAAACTGAAAGTCGTAGCCATCTGTCCAATATTTAGACAGGTTTCCACACTCATTTCAGACTTCAGGAACTCTTCACAAAGTTCTACAACAGGTACCATTTGGAGAAACACTGCAGCTCCCAAGACATCATGAATACAGTCAAGGTCCAGTGTAACCTCTGCAGTATAAGCAAAGTCAATGATATGTCGTAAACCTCTAGATGATACACCTTTTAATTCAATTATGTCTTGACTGGCTTCTCTCATTCCTCCTGTAAACATTGCCCTTCAAATTGAAGAAAAAAAAAATTAGATACATACATATTTCATTACATTTTCAACTGCACCAGTTAAAATAAAGTTTAGCCATCCAGAACCAAGTAATATGTTCATTCAGTAGCCTCCACCCCACCCATACTGCTTATGTTCACTTTCCTTTACTCCCCTGTTAACTTGATCTCAGTTTACAAAAAATACTTTCACTCCATCACGTTTAGAACAAATACCACGGCCAAGACCAGAGGCAGCTTCCCTATCAGCCCTTCGGCACACACAGCACCCAGTCTATATCTGCTCTCTGCTTCAGCCCTTGACCTCTGAACTCACCAATATATTTGATGATACCATTTCCAGCCGCCATGGCCAACTCCTAGGACATGTCCTGTTTCACCCCTACTCCTTCACCTGGAGACCACCGCAAATTGAACAATATTACACAACACTTCCTGCAGCGCCAGATTCTCCACCGCGCCCGGACTTCTGACACCACAAGTAAGTTCTTCACTTTCTGAAAATAATTTTTCATTCAAATCACACCATTTATATTTTCGGATTTACGCTCTTAGTGCTTCATCATAAATGAAACATTCACCTGTGTAGAGAATAAAGGGATTTAGGGCTTGTTCACACCAAATGCAGACCAGATCTGCATGAGTTTCTGCACACGCAGTGCAGTGGGTTGTGCCGCGTTTTGATGCGTTCCGGGCCGTTTTTGGTTTTTTTAAAAAAAGGGCTTTCCGTGCCCTCCAGGGCGTTTGCATGCGTTCAAGAGCAGGTAAAATAGGGCTTGCTGCAGTTTTTTTTTACATGCTCTGGAACTGAACTCTGCGGTGTGAACTAGAGCCCAAAATACAATTGGAATACATTGGACGCAGTTTTGATCCGGTCTGTAACTGTTCTGCTCTTGGAACGCACTTAGTGTGAACAAGGCCTTAAGGTTTCATCTGTGTATGACTGGGACCGGTCTACAATCATGTACAAATGAGGAGAATGTTTATGCATCTCAATATTGACACTATTAATGCCACATGGTGCCGAAAAAGAGTAAGCAATTTCAGAGAGTGTTACTTTTTGGAACTGAACTGTGATTAATACAGAGACAATTTAGACAGAAAGTTCTTCCTTCCCTCAAATTACAAGAAAAAATATACATTTTAAAATAAAAGTGTCTTATAAATTTGAGCCCTTTAGCAATACATAGTGATAACAGCTGCATGAAATGTATGAACATCCAAATACATACCGATTAAAAAGGACCAATATTTTGTTAGACAAATGATGTATGTGTATATGCATGCATGTCATTTGTGTGTGAATGTCATATTATGTATTTTTTTATTTGTAAGCCCTTAGCTGAACATCCCCAAAAGGTAAATTATAAAAGGGTCGGAGTTAATTTTGCTTAAAAAAAAGTTTTTAAACTGATGTCATATATATTTTTTATTTTGATATGAAAATTACAAAATAAACTTTTAAACACAGGTTGCACCCATAACACAATGGCTTTTCTAAATAATGCATACAATAGAAACTGATTGCATTTAGGCTCTTTCTCTGACTGAAATGTCATGGCTACAATCACCAATCTGGCTATGACTGATATAAAAATATTACCTGTAATAACAGGCTTTTTTTTCAGCAAATCATGTGCAAATACCAAATATCTACAGTATATGCATTTTTTCACATTCAGCTGATGAAAATGCTTTTTTTTTTTTTTAGTCCCGACTATAAAAAACACCAACATTCAACCTCATCGGAGAACATTTAATAAAAAATATATGTTAAATAATTTGTCTTTTTTTTACATTTTGTGTGAATGTTTTATACAAAGTAATATGATCTGGATTTATACTTTTTCTGGATTTCCTAAAATGTGGTGATTGTATAGTTAATTAGTTTTACCTATGTAAAATCTGGTTTACTGCTATTTAAATGAACGTGAATTAATCATCTGTATGCATGTTATTTGTGACTTGAACGAAAAAAGAAAACAAAAAGTTGTCTGGCCTGACATTGTTGTCAGTATGGTAACAATAGCTAAAGAAAATACTGATTACTGCAACCACCTTGTCACAAGTTCCTGACCAATCAGGAAGCTGGTTGGCACGTCATAACATGCTGTCAGGCTTCCTAATTGGTTAGGAAGCCAGGCAGCCTCAGAAGGTGACGTCTGTGTTCTTTTGATACAACACCAGCTTCCCAGGCAATCAGGAAGCCGGGCGGCGGGTTGTGACCCGGCTTCCTGATATACTGGGCCCATGGATGCCGGTATCCGTATTCGGTATCGACAAGTACTGAAAAAAAATCATAAAAATCGGTACTCGTACTCCATATTAAAAAAAACAAAAAAAAAACAGTATCGGTGCATCCCTAAAAAATACCATTACCTGGAAAACTTAACATATGCACATTATAAAGAATGGTTTTGATTTATTATAATTAGTCCAGGTACAACTGGAGGGTTTCTCAAGCAAAGGACAGAAGCAACTGCATATACATTATAATCAGAAATATATTTACTACAAATAGACATAGATTTACTAAAGATAAATCGGCTGTTCACTTTGCAAGTGAATTTGCACTCTGAAATGGAATTTTCCTTTAGTTTAGTGCATGTGGTGAAAATTTGGTTTGCAAAGAATACCCATTCACGAGCAAGGAAAATGTAAAAACAAAAAAGTATTTTTGCTTGTACATGACTGGATGATGGAAGTCAGCAGAGCTTTACCACATTCACTAAGCTAAAGGGAAGATTCCCTTGCAAAGTTCAAATTCCTTTGGAAAGTGAACAGTCCATCACCTTTAGTAAATCAACCCTATAGTTCCAAGGTGCTGTCTATTCATCATAAAGTAACCACCATCTAAACCAGGGGTAGCCAAACTCCAGCCCTCCAAATGAAACTACAAATCGCATCATTCACCTGTCCCTGAAAATCATGCTTCTGGTTGTCAGAGTCTTGCAATCCCTCAATTTGTAGTTTCCGCAAAGCTGAAGAGCCCAAGCTTGGCTACCCCTGATCTAAACCAATAATACATTTTCCAAGATCAGTTTATCAGAACTGAATATTTTAATTTATCAATGTAAACAGGGCCGGCCTTAGGGGTGTGCGAGCAGTGCGGCCGCACAGGGCGCCTAAAGGCCTAAGGCCGGCCCTGAATGTAAATCCTGCTCTTATAAAAATATTGATAAATGTCCCCCATTATCTTTAAGCAAATGGTCAATACAATTAGCCATATCAGGCTACCTCTTACTAAGCAAAGTTTATGTGGCAGTTTTTAAACTGTATTTCGGACCCTTGCACCTGGAACCCTCGGCAGCCAAGTGCAAAAGATCTATACAGGCCATAGATAGATTTATCACTGTAAAAAACACAGGCTTTCCCTCTAAACATATGCATACTTAAGAATTGGTCAGGCTGCATTCTGCCACAGTGCCTTTTTAGATGGAGGAAATTATGACAAGCTGTAACCTTGCAGTAAATCTGTTGTAAAAACTGTCTCCGTTCTCCTGTTCAGTATTGCCTTGCTGTGTTAAAAAAATTTTTTTTATAAATGTCCACCAATGTGCACTCCAGTTTAAGAGTTACAATAAAGAATGCAGTGTTCCAAAACTCCCTGAATCTTTTTGGTGCTCTCATTTCAGTATACTAGCTCAGCAGTGTCTGACTAGCAAGCAATGGCCTTGGGGTGGAAAGATGCCAGGATCAGCACACAGCCATTAGGTTGGGTCCTCATGTTTACTTTCCATGCACTGTGCATTTAGTTGGTTAATAAGGTGTACTGTGTACTTACAGTTCATACACTCTGGGTCTGCACACCTTAAGAAAAACTGCTATCACAGTAGGGCAACAGTTTAATATTGAGTAAGTTCCCCTTTTTGCTGTCAAAACAGCCCTGACCTGTCAAAGCATGGGCTCCACTAGACCTCTGAAGGTATGCTGTGGTTTTTGGCACCAAGCTTCAAGTAGCAGATTCTTTAAGTCCTGTAAGATCTGGAGATTTGGAGGCCAAGTCAACACCTCAAACAAGTTGTGTTCCTCAAACCATCCTTGAACCATTTTTGCAGTGTGGCAGGTCGCATTATCCTGCTGAAAGAGGCCACTGTCATCAGGGAATACTGTTTCCATTAAGGGGTGTACTCAGTCAGCAACAATGTTTAGGTAGGTGGTACATGTCAAAGTAGATCCACATGAATGGCAGGCCCCAAGGTTTCTCAGCAGAACATTGCTCAATACATCACACTGCCTTCGCTGGCTTGCCTTCTTCCCATAGTGCATCCTGGTGCAATTTCTTCCCCAGGTAAGCGACACACACGCACCTGGCCATCCAAATGATGTAAAAGAAAACATGATTCATCAGGTCAAGCCACTTTCTTCCACTACTCCATGGTACAATTTTGATGCTCACGTGCTTATTGTAGGCGTTTTTAGAGGTGGACACGGGTCAGCATGGGCACCATGACCGGTCTGCGGCTATGCGGCCCCATACGCAACAAAGAGGTGGGCACGGGTCAGCATGGGCACCATGACCGCTCTGCGGCTATGCGGCCCCATACGCAACAAACTGCGATGTACTGTGTATTCATACCCCTTTCTTTTAGGACCAGCATTAACTTTTTCAAGAACTCTGAGCTCATAATGTTACGCCTGATGGTTGTATACATCTAAATCTATCATGTACACAGTGGGTATAGAAAAGAATCACCCCCCTTTAAAATAATCACATTTTGTTGCTTTGCAGCCTGAAATGAAGACAGACACAGTTTTTGTTTTATGCAGCTTTATTTACTCAGTGCAACTTATACCATCCAAGTGAAAGATATTGGTATTATGTCAGAAAAAAAACAGAAATCACTGAGTTTGAAAAAGGATCACCCCTCCTAAAAATGACTTGTAAACTCAAATCAGGTGTAGCTAATCACCTTCTCAATGGCACACAAAGCCATTTGACTTTCAACTGTGTTCATCTGTGGTCATTTTGACTAGATCGGCAAGAAAAGAGCTT